AACCAGTCTGGAATCCCATTGTCAATTCCTGGGTCAAGTCATGCAGCCTTTGTTACCTGGTGAGATAGCCCATTGCCTAGGGCTAGTTTTAAGGTATAAATATGATTTCAATATCTAACCTCTGCACACACTGCTGGCACACAGCCCAGGTCACATACACACCCACACTCTATGTATGTTCTGTGTCACCCTCAGACCTCTGAGTCTGAGCCACTCCAGCTTTCCATGGTCTTCTCCTCAGGCAGGTAATTATAGCCCCACTGCAATTCCACTATCCCCTTTCCATATTTCCATTTCAGTTACTCTATATGGTGTGTTTGTGTGAATTGCTATCTTGTGTGTGTGTGTGACTGCACTCTGCATATTTTCTAAATAAATAAAACCACCTTAATTCACCCCAAAACCTGGAGTCCTCCCAGTTAGTACTGGTATATATTGGTGCGCACGATCCAAAGGTTACCCAGGCCTCTTGCAAAGCTAATTTTCCCAAAATTTGCAGAATCATTGACAGTTGGTGGGATCCCCCAATCCCTCCACATACTCTTTGGTAACAGCATGCTTTCCATAAGGAGGGCAATGTTTGTGTGATGGCCTTCAGAGACTGCTCAATAAGGGATACTTTTGGTCTCTCTCCCTCTCCAGTGCCCAAAAAAGGTCACACACAAATGTAAGGGAAACTTATACATGTACATGTTCCTAACAGGATGAAGAACATCTTCAAAAAGAAGGACAATTATTTCCATGGCTTGAAAAATATTAAAAAAATACGAATTCCAAAAAGCAAACCTTGATTTTGCCATTTTGTATATGAAACACCATTTTACTAGCCACTGTATTTAATGGGACTTGAGCATCCATGGATTTTGGTATCCACAGGGGGTCTCAGAACCAAACATCATTAGATATCAAGGGTCCACTGTACACAGTTAACAGACACCAACAAATGATCTACAAACAAGCCTCGAATAAACACTTGAAGAAACTGATTTCGCTAAAGTTAGATGTTTCAAGCAAAAATTCTGTGATGGTATTAGATTGCTGCCTTCCCCACCTCTCATCCCCAAATTGCATGCCCCTGCTGCTGTTTGTGATGCCTTCAGAACACCCTTGAACACACTAAACCTGTTCCTTCACCTACTCTCCCTGTAGGCTGGGCACAATGAAGCCACAGTACATCTATTAAATTTGATGGGCAAGTTTTACAGAGAGCCGCCTATTTACCCAGTGGGCGAACAATTGACTAGAAGGCTGCACAATTCTCACCCATGTGCTTTACCTTTCAAGTGTGGATGGGGAGCAAGTAGAGCAGTCTTTTAGCAGATTTATTTGGTAACTTGAAGCCAATCACCTAGGGCAGGGGTAGGCAACCTAAGGCCCGGGGGCCGGATGCGGCCCCCTGAGGCCTTTGGACCGGCCCCAAGGCAGTCCTGCCACCACTGCTGCCACCGCCCCCTACCGTGATGATATTGATTATTGTTATTACTTGTTCTTGGGGTTTTCTTGGCAAAATATCCACAGGGGTTTTGCCATGGCTTTTCTGGGGCTGAGAGAGTATGCATGCATATATTTTAAATTTTTAATTTTTTAAAAAAATTATTTATTTATTTATTTATTTATTTTTGGTGCTTTGGCCCCCTCAATTGTCTGAGGGACAGCAACCTGGCCCCCGGCTCAAAAAGGTTGCCTACCCCTGACCTAGGGCTTCTAGGTCACACGTTCAATACAGCATGAACCAAATGACTTCCCAGTCCCACCTCATCATATTGCATAATATGAATATTTGTGTGCAGAATGATGGTGGACCTTGTTCAGTTTGTAAAGAATTAGCCATTACAGCATAAAAAGCACAAAAATAAAAACAAGTTAAGGTGCTGTCACATTTCTTTTTTCTTTTTCTTCCTTCCTTTTTTGTTTGATCAGTTCAGGAGCCCAACATGAATTCCTAGGCTCAAAACTCTGGTTTTAAATGTGCACCTTTTGACTACAGTCTGATTAGTGGAGCTTAGTAAAAACAAAAACAAAAAACCAACCACAAAGTAGGGCCCATAAAATCTGAAGATCTGCCCATCCCTGTTTAAAAGTTGTCAAGAACTCAAGGATGCACATTCTAGTGTAGAAGGAACAGCTGGAAGTGACTCCTTGGAAGATGACAAGAAAGCTAGAACATGTGGCTCTTATCCCAGTTTGCTTAAAACCCTTTCTTTCAAAATAAACAAATGAAAGTGTAACTCTGGCAGAAAATGAATGTATGAATGCATAAATACGCGGGCACGCAAACACACTTATTCCTGCTATCTCAGTTTTATCTTAAAAGAGTTTAGCAAAGAGCTAAAGCAATGTTGGGTAAGCTTTAGAGTTCTAGATGTCAATCTCTCCAGGCCTAAAATGAAAAATCATGAGAACCTCTTTGGGTTTATAATGAAAATCCTTACTGGGGGGAAAAACAAGGTAAGGGGGTTATCTTAAAAATGCAAACACAATCACCATTCCTGGAGGTTTTCAGGAGTGGCTATTCTCTTACTCTCTCTCGTGTGAGAGTTGGAAACAGTTTTTCACTAGTAAGGAGTGGGGTCCACAAGTTCACCACCTGAGACATAAAGCAGGGATGGGGAAAGTGCAACTGGAAGGCCACATACAACTCCCAGGGGATTTTCCAGCCATCCTTGGTGTCTCCAAAATCACTCATTTGTTGTTGCTGTTAACCGCCCTCAGGTTTATCTCAACTCATGGTGACCCTGTGGATGAGACATCTCCAAGACCCTCCTATCCTCCACTGCTCTGCTTAGTTTCTGTGAATTCATACCCGTGGACTCCATAATAGAGTCCATCCATCTAGTATGAAGCTTTCCTCTCTTTCTACTGCCTTTTTCCTTTCCTAGCATTATTGTTTTTTCCAATGATTCATGCCTTCTCATGATGTGGCCAAGGTATGACAGCCTCAGTTTCGTCATCTTGGCTTCCAGGGAGATTTCCGGCCTTATCTGTTCTAGGACCCTATGATTTGTATTTTTTGGCTGTCCACAGAATCCTTAGAATACAAAGTTCAAAAATGAAACGGAAGACCTACCTACACCCCAAGTTACTGGAAAACAGCAAGCCCCTGTTCCTGGAGCATTGGTTTACTCTCATTTAGATTCCAACATACAAAAAAGAGTCTTAACAGAAACTGCAAGTTGACTCCTGTCTGCAATTTTGAATCAATGTGGCCTGTCACAGGGGTAAGAGGTGGCGGAGACTGACCCCCACATTTGTTGTAGTTGACTCCCAAACCTAAAGTGACTCTTTGAGCCTCAGTCACCTCTTTGGGAGTGTTAGCATATCAGGAACTATCACACTGTGCTTTTAACAAGGCTATATTCCTCTTTTAAGATGCAATCATATGCATGTACACTTACCCGACAGAAAGTACCACTTCTCCTTGATACGATTAAAAAAAAAAAACTTTCTATTTTATAATTGTTGCAATTTCATTCTGTAAAATTTCATCGGGATTATTTCAGAGATTGCCATATGTTTTGTTAGATTTTGTAATTCACAATCATTGGGTAATTTTAAAAAGTCAACCCACAACAAATTGTGAACCCTTTCAATTCACAGGACACCTGTCCCCTCTAGTGTTTTGAGAATCCATCATGAGGATTTATGGGAGCATCATTATTATGTCTGTAGACATATAAAAACTGTGGATGTTTCTGTATCAGCTGGAGGAAAATAGTACATTGATCTCATAGAATGGCCAGGGAAATCCAAGTAATTTTGAAGAAAATTCAGGGATGCTCAACTCCACGTGGATATGAGGTGTCTCCTCCCTCCCTTTTTTTAATCACAGGCACCAATGGGTGAGTTATTTAGAAAAACCATTAAGGTTCAGTTCAGACAACGATGACACATCAATCCAGAAGAAACAAGTGGTAACTTGACTTCCTAAAAAATCAGTCCAAAACCCGTGGCTTAAAAAAATCTAGATTTGGATATCTCAGTTTCAAGAGAGCAATCTCAAGAACAAGTTCAATGTAGGCGTACTTAAAATTAAGTAAATAATCTGAGTTCAGATTACTTTTTTTACATTTATATTCTACCTTTCCAAGAAGTATTCCCCACTCCTGTCACCAGAACAACCCCATGAGGTAGCTTAGGGTGACAGAAGTTGACTAGTCCAAGGTCATATGGTGAATTTCATGCCTGTATGGGAGATCTGAACCCAAGTCTTCCTAGTCCATATCTGAGCCTTTAAACCTAGGGGTTGGGAACCTGTGGTCTTCTAGATGCTGCTGGACTATACTATGAGCTCCCACACAACACTGTCAATATTTGGGACAGTGGGAGTTGTGATTCAACATCATCTGTAGGTCAGAGTTCCTCCTCCTCCTCCTCTAACCATTGGGACCATTGGCCCACTGTCCCTCACACAATCTCCAAACATAGATGTATCAGAGTTTGGTAATAACTAGTTTATTAACTTGCCAGGTTATTAATGTGTTACATTTTCAAGAGATTTAGCCTAACTCACTGGACTGCCTGATTAATGTTGAAATTAACTCTACGCTTTAATGAGTTAGATAACTTTAGAATGTTAGAATTCTTTAAGATTTGATGGCTCTTCCTCTGGTAGAGTGGTTGATTTTATTGTGGTTTCTACTGTATATTATTGCATAGTATACAATATTGTATAATAATAATAATAATAACAACAACAGCTTATAAACTGCAATTAACCTCTTTGTAATAATTTAATTCAGTGTGTTTGCTGCTGTTTACACAAGAGCTGCTAGCCAAATTTTTCCTCAACCTCATCCCAATTTCATCCCTCTCTTGGTTTTCTTCCCTTTCCCAATTCATTGGGTCACAAGAGGATTTGGGTGAGGATGCAGCTGTTAGTGTAGAGCCAAAAGTTTCTTTTAGTTAAACCCATGTCCAAGTTTCTTCAGAAGGGGTTTGCCATCACCGTCCTCTGAGGCTTAGAGAGTGTGACTTGCCCAAGGTCACCCAGTGGATTTTCATGGCTGAGCAGGGATTCAAACCCTGGTCTCCAGAGTTATAGTCCAACACTCAAACCACTATACCACGCTGGCTCTCAAATAAGTTTTTTTTACCTATCTCTTTTTTCATTGGATCACACACTTTGAGGGGTTTGGTAGGGCTGGAGCTTGGAGTGCTCCCATCCCTACTTAAGCCTTTCTTTTTTTTAAAAAAAAATCTACGGTACTCAGAGGTAAGTTCCATCAAGTTAAATGAACAAAATTTGTGGTCTCCCAGTGCTCTCTCTATAGCATGTTGGGTTTTTTTTTTAAAGTGGAATGGAAAGGATGAATGCTTTCAGTGATTCAGTTATGCAGAAAAATGTTCTGCATATGCTCAAAGACACTCAAAATATGTATGATTAAGAATTCTCCACCCTTGATTCACTGAGGGGGGTTGCAGACTGCCAGAAATAGTGCAAATTGAGTCCACTTTTAGGGTTAGGGTTAGGGTTAGGGAATCATGGGACCTGTATTTTATTGTGGCACCAGAGTTCTCTGACAGAGAAGGCTCAATGTCTCAGAAAGAAACCAATTCCCATGATTCCTTAGCACTAACCCTAACCCTAAAAGTGGACTCAATTTGCACTATTTCTGGCAGTCTGCAACCTGACTGATCTTTGGAGAGATACATCAAATGAGGTGCAAAGGGATCCTGTAACACCTTAGAGCCTAACTGAGAGAAAGAAAGAACTTGGTAGCAGAAGCTTTCATAGACCTCAGTGTCACAGACTTTCCTTAATTGTTTTACGGAAACGCGGGATGAGCTGATATAACCCTGGATTGTACCGTGATTTCACGGTTGAAGTCCCTTACCTCCACCATGGGCTTAGCACAGTCCTCTCCATGGTCTGTTCCATGATTCTGCTGGGAGTGTACCAGCCAGAATTCTATTGCATTTTCTGGCACTAAAACTACCTATGTTATGAAAAAGTCCTGGAAATGCTGTCAGACTCCAGCTCCCATCATCCCTCACCACTAGCCATGTCAGCTGGAGCTGGTGAGATGGGAATACAGTAACGGCTGAAAGGCTGCAGGCTCTTCACTCCTGCCCAAAAAGCAACAGCAGCACTCCCCCCTGTAAGTCTCACCTGGTTGATCCTTTGTCCTAGATCCCCTCCTAACTGACTCATCCTATGAAGAACACTTTTCCAAATCCCCACCAAACTTTAGAGGAACCTCTCCTTCATAGGATCATAGAGTTGGAAGAGACCACAAGGGCCATCCAATCCAACCCCTGCCATGCAGGAATACACAATCAAAGCACACCCAACAGATGGCCATCCAGCCTCTGTTTAAAGACCTCCAGAGAAGGAGACTCCACCAACCTCTGAGGGAGGGTGTTCCACTGTCGAACAGCTCTCACTGTCAGGACGTTCCTCCTAATGTTGAGGTGGAATCTCTTTTCCTGTAGTTTGCATCCATTGTTCCGGGTCCTATTCTCTGGAGCAGCAGAAAACAAGCTTGCTCCATCCTCAAGGTGACACCCCTTCAAATACTTAAATAGGGCTATCCTATTGTATCATCCTTCAAAATAACCATGCCCGGGATCCCTCGGAGAGGGAAGGGGTGGCCACAAAAGTCAAACTGATCTGTGCCTGTGGAACCAAAGTACCCTTAACGCCTGGCAAAACTAGATTAAAACCCGTTCATTTCCAGAGGGGCTGCTCTGTGCTTCCCACTGTTCCCAGTAGTGATCTGGCAGAAATGTCTGGAAATGCGGCCCTTCCAGGCTGTTGCTAGAAGGCATAAAGTGTGGAATGGTACTAAGGATTGGCTTCTTTCAGGGCCTGGAGGCTGATGGCATCACTCTGTCCCTGGGCATATATTAATTATAAACAGCTGCTCACCTTTGCCCGCATTTCCACCCGCATCCTGATTGGCATACGCTTGCAGCACTTCCCCCAAAAGACAACCACCAGAGCACAGACACCACTGAATCCTCGGGTCTATGCAATCGTACACACACACACACGCACATCAATCACCAGGGAAACACCACCCAGCAGATAGCTTATCTTTAAAATAGCACACTTGCTCATATAAACAGAGGGCAGGCAGTTGCAACACTTTCAGCCATCATCCGCAGCCTTGCCAGTTCTCTTCTCTTCTCTTCTCCGGACCTGTTCCTTGTTTTCCCTTCCTACACGGCCAAAGCATTTTCCTGCGTTCCCTGTCTCCCACAAAGAGTGGCTTTTATTTCCTGTTTAACTCACACTTAAAAGATTGGTGTTTTTTTGGGGGGGGGGGGAAGAACTGAAGAACTGGAGGGGGAGAAAAGAACTTGCCTTTTACATTTTCCTTCTTCCCTCCTTTCAGAGAACTTCCTACCCATGCGATGCTAAAACCCCAGCACCCCACTACAAAACACGGGCAGGAACCCTTTTTGAAAGTTTAATCTCTCTGATCCAAGAAGGGTGGGGGGTAAAAAAAAGCATGTCCACTTGGCGATCGGACAATAGGGAACTTCCTAGAGCCTTGGTGGAAAATATCCTGCCAAATATTTGCATGCAAGGCCGCACTATCAGACAGGTCTACGCTCCCGCAGAACACATTTTGGGCTCTTTCCATCAAGTGCTCAACTCCCCTCCCTAGTCTCCCCCACAAAGTCCCCCATCACCTCCTCCTGGTGCCCTGGGCGCCTTTTCACAGCTCTGCCATCGCAGCTCAGCGTGCCTTACGCTCTCCGGCTCAAATGGCTTCCTGGCAATTTGCATAGTTGAGCCGTAAACCAGCCACGGCATTCCTGTTATGATTTTGCAATCTACTGGAATAACACGGTCGCTCTCAATAGAGCTGATGAGTCATGAGCTATAAAACCACAGCCCTCGTCACTGGGAGCTCTCAGGGCTGACTACAGTCTGTGTGTGATTAATTTCCAAGGATGCCAAGCTATAGCACATTTGTGCTCCAACTTCTTCCACCTCCCTGGTCCAGATTTCCAGGCTCTGAAAGGGTGATCAAGGCTGCATCCACACTGGAGAGATAATCCGGTTTGATGCCACTTTAGCTGCCGGGAGTCCATGCTATGGAATTCTGAGCCTGGTGTCGCTGGAGCCACAACAAACTACCAGGCCCAGAATTCCATAGCATGGAGTCATGGCGGTTAAAGTGGCATCAAACTGGATTATTTCTCCAGCGCGAATGTGGCTGAAATCCCAGCAAATATGACCTGACAAAATGTTCCCCTGTTGCACTAGGCATATCCTAACACTAACACCATGTGAATTTTTCAGGACTATGATGTAGTATTGTGTTTCCCAAACTTTGGTCCTCCAGGTGTTTTGGACTTCAACTCCCATAAAACCCAGCCAGCTTGGCCAACAGTCAGGAATTCTGGGAGCTGAAGTCCAAAACATCTGGAGCACTAAAGTTTGGGAACCACTGATCTAGTAGTAGCACACAAGATTTAAAAAAAAAAATGACAACGCCAAATGTCTTCCATGTGCATATAGCCAACTCTTGCATTTTTGAAGTCCAGTTTCTGAGCCAGGAATGAAATGCACGTGCGCGCGTGCACACACACATTTTGTTCCTGGGTCAAAAGAATCTCCTGTCAAAACGTACTGCAGACTTGCTCCAGCCGCAAAGCACATCTAACACCATTGGTGTGGTGTTTTCTTGCTGTCGCTTTTGCTCCCCATATTTGCTTCTTTGCAGAGGGAAACAACAGCTAGACTGCCTGTCTGCCCACCTCTCTGGTCAGCAATGAAGAAATTTTTCCTAGAGGGACCGTTTTGTACTCCAACTCCGACCAACCTCAAGCAGCACAGTGATAAACTCTGATACCACAAAGAGCATTTTCCTCACTTCACATCCAACTCGGGGTTGGCAATTCATTGAGGGCCCAGCTGTCAACTCTGACTTGATGAGATTTGCTAACTGCCATTTCCTATAGGCTCAGAGTAAAGAACTAAACCCAGCCAGCCCCCAAATATCGACCAGCTATACTGCAGGCACCTGCCACAAAACTTTGTGGTTTATTCAATAAATTCCCATCCCCTTGTTGAAACAGTAAGATTGAAAAGACAAAAAAGCAAAAATAATATAAATCATCTTTATCAATTTCTGTTGAAAAGTGACAAACCATGGGTATAACAAAAGTATGCAAAACAAATACAGGCAAAAGATCCAAAATGAATAAGTGCAACAATGGCAAGCAAGATAATACAAAATAGCGGACTTACCAAACGATAAACGTTACACCGAAAGAGTAAGACAAAATATAGTACAAAAGGAATAGGCTAAGTGAGAGAGGGGAAGTCACAAAAGAAAGATGAAAGCTCAGCAGCTGCTTAAGATAATACATATAGCTGAAAACCATTTCCATCTCAGTAGCTCAGTAACCCTATAACCCTAGATCTTGTCCATATTTCTGCCAAAAGGGCCAGCAAGTAACTGGAACTGGAAAGTCTGTTGGATATGGAGGCTGTGTCCACAGGAAATTAAGTGAGCTGCAGTGTTATGTACTTCTTTGAGAATCTCAGGAAGATGCTGCTGTGTTCAAATATATATTTTAAGAACAAATTTACAGGCTGTCAATCCTGCTAGCATTTATACTTGCCCTGGGCAAGCAATGCTGCCACTATTGATTGTAGCAGTTGTTGTTGCATCCTTCCCTCTTTGTAGAAGGCTCTTTAGTCTGAGCATAAGCTCTCAGTGGTAGCAAAATAGCATTGGTTCCAACCTCACCTATGATCACACAGCTTGAAGAAGTTGTCTTTTTGGACTACACTTTCCAGAATCGTCCAGATAGCATGGTCACTAGCCATAAAGTTTGGGGGATTCTAGGAGTTGTAGTAAAATGAAGACCTTTCCCAAGTTTCGTGTGTTCTTGGGTTAATAATAATAATAATAATAATAATAATAATA